AGTAAGTCGACTTTACTTTTAAAGTTCTCATTTGAGACTTTGTAGGAATGTTCTTTTGGAGGGAGAAGTTGTTAATTCAATCAAAACAAATAATTTTATTCATCACTAACCTCACATTTGTTTTCTTTACAGGGATTCTGTTTGCATTTTTATTATAAATCCCAATTAAATTTTGGAAGTAGTAGTATTTGTTTTAGCCAATTGTTTGGACAATTTGGAAGCCATTCTCAAAGTATACAGTTATAAAATGAGAAACATTCTTCTACCAAAAAACTTTGGACATTTTATTTTGGGGTTAGTCCTTTCCTTCAGAACAAGTCCATAAAAATTCTTTTAACCTAGAAACAGTAAAATGTTATTCTATCCAGAAAAACCTAAGCTGGAACCTCAGTTTCTGGAATTTAATTCTCATTTCTGTTTTGAAGAGTAGAGAAGTGATTGGGGGAAATTCCCCCAATTGGATATAAACAATATCCAGGGCACATGTTAGTGTAAATTCAATGCAATACATTAACCCTTGGATGTCTACAATTTGATATGAGAAATTGTTCTAAGATCACAAAAGAACCACAGTCATCTAAGAAATACTTAATGATGCTTCCTATGTTGTGCTTACCAAGACAGAATACATTTTTTAGACTTCTGAAAACGTTTTCAATAATGATTAAGACAAAAATACTTATATTCTGCTGGTCCATGACCCATCAGGAAATCCAAAACAACCCATTTCTTGAATATTCTTATTTATTAAGTCTTTTCCAAATATAAAAAAGCATCAAAATTGTTCTGAGAAATGTATATCTAACCTGATGTATCCTTTGTCCATTGTTCATCATCATCAAAATGAGCATCTCCATAAATCCCCAGCCCAGGTGGGTAGGCATGAGCCAAAGACTTTCCAGGTCCATCAAAAGGAAAAAAGTCTCCATGATCTAAGAGAGAAATGTTTTGTTTTGTTTTATATTAGGAAGATAGGTAATTAGAATCTTTTTTGGAACCCTTTCCAAAAAAACACCACCAGCCAAATGGATGCATTTGATGTTTTTTCTTTGTTGTTGCTTTTTACCTCTAACTGCAAAAGTGATCATTATGTCAGCCTCTCCTTCATGAATCCTGGAGAATGTAAGTGGAGTCACCTCCTCCCAGACTTTC